ACAGTAACAGATAGACTGGATGAAAAACGGTAAAGATATTGATAGTAATGATAATGACTGCAGTAATAATTGCAATAAGACTTTTAACAGTGGTTGTAATTGTATCCGAGTAGGAACATGGGGGCAGCAGCAGACTCCTAATTACAGATCCAGGTTCCACAGCTCCAGGAACACCTGCAGGAAGTGATAGGAGGTAAATCCCAACCACAGATCCAGACTCCACAGTGCCATGAACACCTGCAAGAAGTGATAGGAGGACAGAGGCGAAGGACGAGAACGCACACGACTACGGGAAAGGGAAAAAGTCCAGTTAGTAACATTCATTAATGTAATGAGGTTACACTGGAAGGGAGAAAGAGAAAGAACAGGGGAGCTTGGTGCATCATAGGGAATCCCCCGGCAGTATAGGCCTATGGCAGCATAACTAAGGATGGACTCCTGTTTACCCTTGATTTAAAATGTTTCAATGGTCAGGGTATAGACACGTAACTATAGGGTTTTCACTAAATAACTCTTGAAATGGAGGATCAGAGAAGTGTGTTGCACTGCGACTCCGCCTCCTCCTCTAAACCCTGGACTGTCACTGATCTAGTCTACTTACATAGTTGGCTAGGTTTCTAGAAATGAGAAAGCTCCTTCTCAGGTGGATGCCGTCTGACCGAATCAGGCCATGTCTTCCCAAGAAGATCTGCCAGTGATCTACAAAGCCAACATCGTTTGCTGGGCACTACCTTGATAGCCATCGGCGGAATGATATGCGGCTATACATGTCATCACTAATCAGGTTTGGCAGGGGGCCAGAGAAAGTATATTTTTTTCCCGAAATTTGTCTTTACTTCAGTTATCACCCCGAATGTTTTATCAGTCTACAGCCACTGCACGAACTCACTTAAGGTAATATCTCAAGTTATGTACTTTGTAATGTGAATTCTAACATTAATTTCAGTTTTCTGGCATCATTTGTCATGTGGCACCTATTGCACACCGTTTATAATTAATCTTTCGTGGTATAGTGCTATCGGATTTTCAGTGTTAATGCAAGTTATGGGGATATTGATATATGGGTAATCAATTTCTTCACTTCTCTCTGGTGACTTTCCACAAATTAATATTTTGAAGGTTCTCTTTCTTTCTTATGGGACTCTTTCCTCCTTTTAGGTCTCAGAGAAAGACTTCTCATACTTTATCTTTTAATATTATTCTTGAGGATTGTTTGGTACAGGTGCAGGTTACTCTATGATGGGAGACAGACTTTACTCCTCATCCCAGGCTCAGAGAGGAGTGTAAAATGCATTATGATTTTGTTCTACTTTAGAGCAGCTTGGTACGTTGTATGAACCACTTGTATGATTGTTTTCCCTTTTAATAAATTTCTATTTCTTACTTCCTCAGACAGACTCATTCTCTTGCTTTAAAATAGAATTTCCACAACAGTTTGGCGTCACGAACAGGATCCCACGACTGGTTTCTCTGGTCTGGAACCTTGCAGTGTTTTGCTCAGCCTGGGCGGATAGCCTCCAGCCTTAAACATCCAGGGGCTTGGGAGAAAAGACTAACAGGTTGGCTCTGGAGCACCAGTGCTGGGAACGAGTACAGTCATGTGAAAATCATCTGAGGTGGTAGGAATAAATGTGCACGAATGTTAAAATTGGGTTTGAATAGACTAGAATTTAAAAAGGAATTAAACTGGTTCAAAATGTGATTGTCTTTAATATTTATTGGCTCCCTGGGGAGCTTTCTGGAGACTGGGCGAGTTTGAGATTAGTCTGCGGAACACTAACATGCACTATAGGAGGGTTTGGTTGGAATAGAAAAGAGTAAAAAAAGAATATCAACGTGGTTTTTAGCCATTCATTTTGAGGGTGCAACATAGACAGAGCAGAAAACTATAACCATTTTCTTTCTTAAGAGAACTATATAACGAAGACAAAAATTTGATGTTGATCGCAAACAAAACAAAAAATCTTCTAAATCCATATATAGGAGGCTTTTTTTTAGTGGCAGTCTTGATCCAGATGAGGAACCTCTCCAGACTATAGTAGGGTGACTCATTCACACAGATAAGTGCCCCAGCTAACAATGCCCCTAACTAAGAAAATCTGACTATGATGGAGAGCATGACCTCGTTCTTACACCACTGTATCTTTGCGTAGTAATAGCTGGGTGCCACCACTGGAATGTCTGCATAACGGTGAACTATAAACTATTTAGACACCACCTTAGTTTTGGAGGACACATTAATGATTAATTAGCTGTAATAATTATGAACAGTCAAATGTAGGATAGCCAGGTTCTTCCCTCAGTTGGCTGCTCGAAGACTGATTTGCCTCTCTAACGATTGTTTGGGAAGTGGACTCAGGTTCTGAGTCAGGATCAACGCTCTAATATCAAATGATTTAATCAAGTATGTCAGTATGTGCTTATATGTACAGTTCAACTAAGCTGCAACCACCATGATGGTTGATGGGCATCAGACAAAGGCTGACTGAAAATTCATGTAGACAGCTGAGTAACCGCAGGGTTTCCCTGGTTGAAGTTCGTCATCTTATAACCTTGTGCTGCCTACTGTAAAAAACTGATC